CCTTGTCAGATGGAACGGTCAAAATGAGTTTACATTCCTCCCGGCCATCTTCTCGGTAAGAGCCCGTCATAAAGCCATCTCGAAGTCTCCGTCGATGTCGAGCTCGTCGTCGTAGTCGTGGTGCTCGTCGCCGTAGTCGTCGTCGTGCTCATCGACGTCGTGCTCGTGTTCGTTGTCGCCGTGCTCGTCGTCGCAGTCGTCGAGGCGGGAGCGCGGATGTTTTTGCTTTGTTGGGGCATCATCACAGTGTCTCAGCCATGCTGTGCTGAGCGCCTCCAACCAGTAGTTGTCGATGCCTCTTGAGCAGCAGTATCGGCAGTGAATGTTGGGCGCCTCTGTCTGTGTTTGGATGGAGGGTATACTCACAGCCTCTGCAAAATGCGCCCCCCCCCCGCCCAACCCACCCATCAGGGTCCACCTTCCCAACCCGACCCGCCGCCTTCAGAGCCCGCCTGCCAGACCCTACCCGCCCGCCCCGCACGCGCGCCGACTCGATGATGCATCACACTTGAATGTCCCGCCCACCCGACCCGACCCGCCCGTTGGGGTCCGCCCGCCCGACCCGACTCGCACGGCAGAGCCCGCCCGCCCGGCCCAACCCGACCCGCCCTGCACGCGCGCCGACCCGATGACGCAGCATACTCTTCTGGGCGAAGCGAATTCCATGTGCGCGTGCAGTCCGAGCGTTGCCGACTCCTTCACTCGCCGGTGCTGGTGGAGAGCGGCAAGATGCGAGGACGCTGTCGTGCTCGTGGTCGTGCTCCTGGTCGTGCTCGTGCTCGTGCTCGGCGTTGTCATGCTCGTCGTCGGATCTGCCCTTGCTCGCGCAAGACCTGGCGGAAAACAGTACCAATGTTGAACAAATGTCCAGTCATGTTCCTCATGATGCAGATGCATGATGTTTTTCATGTGATGCGTTCCTGTCTCCAGGAAGCGCGGAAAAGTAGGGCAAATGACTGACCTGCCCTAGGAACGAAAGAGCACTGAGCTCTAATCATGAAACACTTCGGGGTCCCAACGTCGACATTGATGATGCCTTGACTGAACACCGAGACCTTTTGTCACGGTATCGTGAGGCTCGTCCTATCAACCGACGCTAGACCAATAGCTATACAGGAAACACATGAATAATATACACATGATGCAAGACTGATTGAAGAGACCATTCGATTGCTTGGCCTTCGACGATTGAAAGCGTTGATGTCACGTTTCCGGTTGAGAGCGTTGACACGTTCTGAAAAAGCTGACCTGATCGGAAGCGTTCAAATCAATGCCCCAACAGAATTGTGAGACAACCGCTCCCAAGGCTTCCAAGGCCAAGTAAGAATATTAGGCCTTCGGCCTTCAGAACAGCTTGGTCGGCAAACTTTGCCTGAACTTTCCAGACTCTTCGAGCCGGCGCAGGCCAGCACCAGCGTGACCTGGTGACACATTGTCTCCCCCTTTCACGGTCCTCCACGTCCACCCCCAGACAGGGTGAGAGAGAGGAGGGGAGCACTTGGTCGAAGGGGCCCTGAGGCACAAGAATAAATAGACACAAATAACAAGATTCCCCACATTTTCCCAGCACTTCCCATATTTTCCTATATTTTCTGGGGGATCGACGATTAATTGTGTCTGAGTTTTTTGTTTCCCCTTCTGATTGGTTACCACAGCACGCAGCTGAGCATGACTGAGCTGGTCTGCAGAGGGACGGCGCAAGCCGAGCTCACTGTGAGCACGGCTGACGAGTGCCCTGCGCTGCGTTAAACTGCGCGAGTGAATCCTGCAGACAACCCGTACGATGAGGACGCACGATAAGGGTACTTGACGAGCGCGTTCCACTACTCGCAGAATAGCTACTCGCAAATAGCCTGGATCCACCGCGGGAGATTTTTCGCTCTTTTACATAGAGGAAGACATCTGTTTTCGGACATTTGCGAGTAGGCACTTTGCGAATGGTGGAACGCGCTCGGCGAGACACAAGGGCCTTGGAAGACAATTTCGACACTTTGCGCAGCGGGGCGCGGCCAGCGAAAGCGGCCAGGGATGGGCCAACGGGGAAGAATGCAAGGGCAGCCTTGGAAAGTCGTCCATCCTTACAATGCGGGTTGACTGGACTCAATCCCCTTGACAAAACAATGCAAGCTGCTTTAACCCTCATGTACGGGGCCTGGCCGATGGAGGACATTGCATGCTCCAGCGTCACGCCGGGTCTAAACTGCAGCACCATCATCGGCTGCAACCATCATGGACGTGCCAAGTGTGAATTATTCGGCTTGCTCGTGTTTGATCTCAGCTGAAGTCTCTACTGCCGTCTCACTCCTCGCTTCACCACCATTAGAGCTGGCCTCCTGATGGCCGCACTTAGCGTACCGCACGTATAGCACGACTTGGAGTACTGAGAAAAGCACGCCTGCTGCGTTGGGTGCCCAAATGTATGTGTCGAGCAGGAAAACCCCATGGGCGCCCCAGAAAATTCCACAGGCGAGAGACGCCAAAGTGAGCGGCAGCGGCATGAACTCTACGGATTGCGTGCGAACCACGAGGCGCGTAACAGAGAGCGGTGAGGCATACTTAATACAATTAAGGCTTACTGCTGAAACACCGAAGATGGTGCCTGGATTATCGACCAGTACTGCAACCATCAGAGCACATCCGACGAGAACAAACGCAATTGATATCTGCGCATAGACAACCCTCATCCTGTCTTTCTGCACAAACCATGCGAAGATGCTTATGTACGCGATCATCATGGTTGCGCCAATGACATTGTTCAAGAGCATCTCGAAACGATCTCCTGCTGCGATCGCCCAAAACGCCCACCATGACGACTCAACAAATTGGGCAAGATATGGCAGTGGGGAAAATGATTTGATTGATTTCCCTTTAAAGATCCGACGACATGTGGGAGCAGGCGACAGGAAAAGACACGCCGCCGCGACAACGCCACAATAACCAAACCCCATCGATACGGCACTGGGCTCCCCTAACTCCATGGTGGCCACCATTTCAGTAAAGTAGACGCGAGAGAGCTGCAACCTGCGCAAAGGAAGGTGGCGTGAGCCAAATGCTGGACCGGAACGGCAAATATGATCCAAAATGGCATGAGCCACTATGGCTGGGCGTGCACGGAAAATATTCATGAACTTAGATGTCTCACGATGCATGCAGATTGGCGCAAAATGGCGATTTACAACGTAACGGTTCCTCCAACCCAAAAAAAAAAAAACATCTGACTGGGGGATACCAGTCCCCCCCAGACTCCCCTCGACCCCCCCACCCTTGAACCCCCTGGACGCTGGGCCTGCTGGCCCAGAAGGACGAGGGGCTCGTTCTACCGCCGGAGGCGGTAGGCTTGCGCCCCCTGACCCCCGACGTCGCAATTTGCTCACAACGCGGACCGCCAGAGATCTGAGCCCCTTCCCCAGGAGCCGTACAGTCAACCCGCAGAGTCCAACGAAAGTGTCCAAGGATGGACCCAGGAAGCAGGGATGCAAGGGTACCCTTGGGAGGGATGCCTATCCTTACTCTGCGGGTCGACTGTACTTCATCCCGAGTCGTCTGTTGACGTTGCCAGGGCACGGTCCGGGCCCCCAAGGGCGGAAACTGTCACAACGGCCTGTCATCATTTGCACGACGCGGAGGGTCCAGCGGGGCCGGCAAGCTCGAGGTCCATGGAGACGCAGCGGGGCGCCTCCTCAGAAACCCGCGCCCCTCGCGCTGCCCCCTTGTGGGCGCCGCGTTGCGCGATGCAGGACGACACCACCAGTGTGCGCGTGCGAGTGCGCGGTGCCTACCTGCGCGCGTGCGGCTGATGCGTCGCCCCTGGCGGTTGTCGGCATGTGAGCTCGCGTGTGCAAATGGGCACATTATCCCGACAGGCGTAGTTGTCAGATGCTTAATGCATGACGGCCAGACCTAGGACAGAGGAACATCCTCCAAGAACATAGGACCCTTCGCTGGCCAAACTGAAGAACACTCGAGGGTACCCTTCCCCAGGATGCACAGGAACATCCAACAAGCACGAAGAACATTAGGGCACCCTCCCCCAACCGACCTCGATCTCATACCTCGGTCCGACCGCACTCTCTGTGGAAAGGACAGGAGGAGAAGGAGGAGAAGGAGGAGGAGGAGGAGGAGAAGCAGGAGGAGAAGCAGGAGAAGAAGCAGGAGGAGGAGGAGGAGGAGGAGGAAGGGGAGGAGGAGGACGAGGAGGAGGAGGAGCAGGAGGAGGAGGAGCGAGGAGAGCGCCGCTGGGGCCTAAGGCTTCTTCGAAGCGGCCCAGACGCTCGGCTCCGAGGTCCCCGACAGGGCTCCGCGGGGAGCCACCGCCTCGAGCGCGCGGCCTCCCCGGAGGGCTGCAGGCCGACGGGCCCGCGGGGGGCGGGCAGCCGGCACCGTGCCGAGCAGCAACTGATGGCTCCTCTCGCGATCCTAACGAAACTCTCCCCTCCTCCCCCCCTCCTCCCCCTCCGCCTCCCTCCTCCTCCTCCTCCCCTCCTCCTCCTCCTCCTCCTCCCCCTCCTCCCCTCCTCCTCCCCCTCCTCCCCCTCCTCCTCCTCCCCCTCCCTCCCCCCCCCTCCTCCCCCTCCTCCCCCTCCCCCTCCTCCTCCTCCTCCTCCTCCTCCTCCTCCTCCTCCTCCTCCTCCTCCTCCTCCTCCTCCTCCTCCTCCTCCTCCTCCTCCTCCTCCTCCTCCTCCTCCTCCTCCTCCTCTCCTCCTCCTCCTCCTCCTCCTCCTCCGCCTCCTCCTCCTCCTCCTCCTCCCCCTCCTCCTCCTCCTCCTCCTCCTCCGCTTCCTCCTCCTCCTCCTCCTCCTCCGCCTCCGCCTCCGCCTCCGCCTCCGCCTCCGCCTCCTCCGCCTCCTCTCCTCCGCCTCCTCCTCCTCAAGCCATCATGGCCTGAGGGTGGGTGTTCTGGGGCGCACCCGACACTGCACCCTCATCCCAGGTCTCCTGTGCCTGCCCGTGGCGCTCGAGGCGCCCACGCGGCGAGGGGCCCCCTCCCCGCTCGCGCGCGCCTCCTCGAGGGCCTCGACCGTGCCCTTCTCGAGCGCCTCCTTGAGCAGCTCCCGGGCCTCTGCCTTGGGCAGCTCCTCGTGGCTGCCGGGCAGGAGCGGTCGGCATCGACCCAGTACAGCCGGACCAAGGACAGAAGAGCATCCTTCATCGGCTGCACGTACGAGTGGCCCTAGGCAAGAGTGACCTTTGGTGCGCGGCTTTTGGGGGCGCGAGGAGGCCAAACACAAGCGCGCAAGACACTACTACCGCACAGCACGCGGCGATCGGGGGACCCTAGTGGGCGCGCACCAAAGGTCACTTAGGCGAAGGGTCACTCTTACGTGTAGCCGACTTCAAAAACATGAGACCCTCCGCTGGCCAAAACACACAGAACATCTCCAAGGGTACCCCTCCCAGGCTGCCCAAGAACATCCAGCAAGCACGAACAACATCAGCGCACCGTCCCCGAACCGACCTCGATCTTACTCTTCGGTCCCACCGCAAGCCAGACTGCATCGGATCGGAACAAGCGTCGAATCGGGGGGCACCAGCACGGAGTCGGAACCCGAATCGGATCGGCCGCGCAAGGATGCACAAAGGCGCCATGCCATTGCCCCGCGCCTCGGCGCCGCCCAAGAAGAGGGGCCCAGCGCCGACCCAAGACATCCACGCGGACCTAGGAAAATGTATGTTCGTCCTGCTTCTTGTTGTCCTTCGGGGAGCACCCCCGGGAAGCCCGAACGGAGCCTCATGAGCAAGGGGGCGTTGACCTACCTCTTGACAAACCACCACTGCACACGCAATTCCACACCACCGCTTGTGAAATCGCCGTCGCTGTTGTATATACAGTCTTCCCGAACGCGCCCAAGCAAGCTCAACGTTATGAATAGGGACAGGTTCAAACAGATCGTAACAAAGCGCGCGTTCATAATGGATGGGGATCAGTCCTCCTTGAGAACAGCTTTGGCCTCCTTGATGACGTCCTTTTCAACGCCAGCCTGGGGGCGAATGTAGAACGCTCCCACCCCACTGTCATGTGCAACTCCCGCTCCTCAAGCCGCCATTGCCGCATCGGTGCAAACACGGTCCCGCTGCACCCGACGGTATGACTTCTCAATCCGCAGAACTCTGGCCGCTCCCCCATGGGGGGAGTTTTTCATCCCGAATCAGCTTTTGATGGCCCCTGGGCGCGAAAGCGGCCCCCCAGGCGCGAAAGCGGCCCCCCAGACGCCGACAATGAGGAACAAGTGCCGCGACTGAAACAATACTCCCATCTTCCACCTCCCCTTCCTCCTCCTCATCCTCCTCCTCCTCCTCCTCCTCCTCCTCCTCCTCCTCCTCCTCCTCCTCCTCCTCCTCCTCCTCCTCCTCCTCCTCCTCCTCCTCCTGCTCCTGCTCCTGCTCCTGCTCCTCCCTCCCTCCCTCCCTCCCTCTCTCCATCCTTCCCTTCTGCCCTCCCTCCCCCCTCTCTCCCTCCCTCTCCCTCTTCCCTCCTCCCTGCTCCCTCCTCCCTCTCCCTCCTCCCTCCTCCTCCGCCGTCCGTCCTCCTCCTCCCTCCCTCCTCCTCGTCATCCCTCTTCATCCCTCCTCCTCCTCCTCCTCCTCCTCCTCCTCCTCCTCCTCTTCCTCCTCATCCTCCTCCCCATGTTGCTTCTTGTTATTAGTTATAATACTCGTATTAGTCATATGCGTGTTCTTATTATGTTGATTGGCATCCGTATTATGATTAGTATCATTATCATTCGTGTGCTTATTATCACTCACATTACCCTGCGTACTATTATTGTCACGAAAAACAGGCCCAGTGGAAGGTGTCCAAACCTCTGTCGGTCGGCGTTGAAAACAAAATCACGACTTCGGAGCTCTGGGATCCACGGCCCTCGCCGGGTGTTGCTACAAGTGCCCCTGGCCCAAGGTGCCCCCAGGATTTCCAAGGATGCCCCCACGGCCTCCATAGCACCCCTCACGAGGCCCAGAGGGCCCCAGGGGCTCCAAAAATCAAGCGAGAAGCTGGGGGCACCTTGGGCCCAGGGCACCTTGAGCAACCCCTGACCTCGATCCCTCAGGAGGATCGACCCAGAGATACGGAAAAGTCTGGGCGGTGATTTTCCGCCTGTGCGGGCGGCGCTCTGGAGGTCAGTCTCGGTCTCGGTGACCGTCAAAAGCGACTCGGGATGAAAAACCGAGCTTCGGGGGAAGGGGCCAACCAAGAGACCCGGGGGCCAGTGCCTCAAAAAAGTTCGCGCCGCCGGATCGCTGGGGAGGAGGACGACCCTGAGATCCGACATTGGGAAGCAAATGCAACCTCGAAAACAGGTCCCCCCCAAAAGAAAAAATCCAAAACGACCATCTTTCTGCAGCATTTGTCGATGCCAGATCGATGTGTGATGGCCCCAGGGCCCGACACCGGGCGGAGACGCCCGGCGTGTGAAGAATGACTCGACGCGGGGATCCCCATTTGTGCACATCACAGAGCTGGCAAACTTCGGTAAAAGACAGTGTCCTTTTCAGTGTCCGAGTGTCGGCGAATCCACGTGGAAAATGAGGGCGAGAGAGACGCCGACGACTACGACGACATTAAGTAGTTGCTTCCGCCTTCCGTCCTCCTCCTCCTCCTCCTCCTCCTCCTCCTCCTCCTCCTCCTCCTCCTCTTTGTCCTCCTTGTCCTCCTCCTTTTTCTCCTCCTTTCCCTATGAACACCTGTCAGGAAAATCTATCCGTGAAGACGAAACGGGCCCGTGAGATACCCCCTGGCGCCCCCCCTTGGGAGCGCTGAAACCAGCGCCTCGCCTGAGACATCCTCGGAAACTGCTCCGAAAGAGAAGGATGTTGAGCACCCAACCAGGCAAACCGCCTGAGACATCCCCCCAATCTGGGCGCGAACGGGCCCGTGAGATACCCCCTGGCGCCCCCCCTTGCAGAAACTGCTCCGAAAGACAAGGATGTTGAGCACCCAAACAGGCAAACCGCCTGAAACATCCCCCCAATCTGGGCGCGAACGGGCCCGTGAGATACCCTCTGGCGCCCCCCCTTGCGGAAACTGCTCCGAAAGGGAACGATGTTGAGCACCCAAACAGGCAAACCGCCTGAGACATCCCCCCAATCTGGGCGCGAACGGGCCGGTGAGATACCCCATGGCGCCCTCCCTTGCGGAAACTGCTCCGAAAGACAAGGATGTTGAGCACCCAAACAGGCAAACCGCCTGAGACTTCCCCCCAATCTGGGCGCGAACGGGCCCGTGAGATACCCCCTGGCGCCCCCCCTTGGGACCGCTGAAACCAGCGCCTCGCCTGAGACATCATCACAACCTGTGTTTGAGTCTGAGCGCGGAAGTGGTGTGGCTGAGTCTGAATGAGAAAGAGCGAGGCAGAGTTAGAGTGACTCTGAGTGTGAGTGACTCTGGGTGTGAGTGAGTCTGAGTATGAGTCTGAGTGAGTGTGAGTCTGTGTGTGGCCTGAGTATGATTAACCTTGAGTCTGAGAAGCGACTCAAGGTGCGAGTGAGTCCGCATAAGAGTGGTCCCGAGCATGAGAAACCTAGTATCATGAATATCAGGGCAAGTGAGTGAGTCTGAATATGAGTGAGTCTACATGTGAGTGAGTCAAGGAAAGAATGATGACCTGAGGGTGGGAGGTGTGTTCCTTCCTTCCTTCCTCCCTGTATTCGATCTTAGGATATGGGGAAAAATCCAATGCCCGGACCTCAGTGGAGGAGGACGAGGGACGAGGAAGATGCCCCCGTCTGCGTATCTCGGCGCCCCGTCTGCAGTTTTGGGGGGAAGACTACGGGCCGCCGCAGAGCAGAGAGCGCACGAAGGCATCACGCTTGAGACCGCCCCAGAGGTCCACACCAGGAGGTGCCCTTCGATGAAGATCAGAGGGCCCGGGGGAGGGGGGCGAGAGACGAGCAAGGGCAGGCACGGCAGGGGGCAGCCATCTAAGAAAGCTCGTGCGCGAGAGTGCGAGGCGGGGATTTGTCCATATCCACCGCCTCGCAACCGTGCCCCACCGGGCGGTGGATATGAATAGATACACTGTGTCCATATCCACCGCCTGCCGAGGTCCCCGAAAATGGATCCTCCAGGCGGTGGTCATGTATCAACTCCCGCCTCGGAGAGAGACCACTGGGAAGGCACAGGCACCCGTAGGCAGGATGGAACACCAAAGGCTCCCGTGCCACGGGAGGAGAGCGGCGGCGAGGACCCCCACGGCCCCGGAAGGGGCCCGGAAAGCGGCCGCCGCCCCCGACCGGGGACGCCCTGCGGCGAAGCCGCACGAGCTCCTGGAGGGAGCCCTGAGGTCCGCAGCCAGGGCAGGGCTTCTGGAGTGGGAGGGGGCCCCTTCGAAGCCACGTGCACTCCACACCTTCTCACACGCGTGGGCCTTGCTCCGAAGGCTGACCCCCAGACCCCGGCCCCGCTTGCGCGCCGCCAAGTGAGGCAGATGAGTGAAGGGGAGCGGCCAGGAGGAGAGGGTGGGGTACTGATCTCTCTCATGGTCACCCCATCTGCTCTCCTCGAGTCCCATCAAGCAGTCGTCACTATTATCAGTCTGTTGAGGCCCGACACTCGTTCGGGCCTTTCATCGATATCAAGCACGGTCCCTGGAAGAATGCGTGCATTTGCGGCTGATTGGTCTGCTATCTGGCAATCGTCCTCCCAGCCATCTCGTTCATCCTTCAGCTCTACCTCTCCCTGGCAATCCAAAGACATGGCGATGGAGACACCTCCTTGGCCTGCTGAATGGCGAATTTCAGCTTCTTTACCTCTTTCTCCTGCCCAGCTCATCTGGTGGAGACTTCCTTGCTCCGCCAGCCCCCCCCCCCCCTGTTAAAGCAACACAGCCTGAACGCGAGCCCACATTTCTGCGCCATTATGCTGCTCCGTCCGCCCTCGAGCACCTCTCCAACATCGCCTAAGCCTGCCCTGTTCATCCCTTCATGTTCCGCTTTGCAAAAAAGAGACAAGATCAGTGAGCATCGAATCGGGAAGTCGGATCGAATCCGACTGTGCGTCGGATCGGGCTGCATCGGCATGGAGTCGAAATCGAATCGGATCAGCCGCGCCAGGATGCACAACAGCGCCATGCAAGCAACGGGAAGCCTCGGATCGTCGGAATACATCGAGCCCGATCGGGCGGGCCAAAATCGATATCGAATCGGACCGCTCGGATCGAAATGGGCGCCGAAGACGGAGCGGACCAAAACGAGATTCGGGGTGTCCGCGCCGCGTGCAAAGCCTTGCTCTCCCTGACACGGGGTGGCAAAGCAGACCAACAAGCGACTCGGGGTGTCGCACGCGGCACCTTGCCGTGCGCAGCCTGCCGCGCAGCCCACGGCGCAGCCGAAGCACACCGCACGGCGCAACCAATAGCCGGCTCACGGTGCACTCTACAGTCGAGCTCGCTCGGAGCTGACACGCGAGAGGACGCAAGACCCTTCCGAGGGCCACATTGCCCCTGGGAAGCAGAGGACGCGAGGCGCGAAAAGCAGAACAGAAGGCACCCTTGGCTTGGAAGGGTCTGCCGACTGGTCAGACCCGACCGCACGGCGCAACATGGGGCGCAAGCTGTGGCGAAACCTGTGTGGCGCAAGCGACGACCGTCACACGGCGCAAGCAGATGGCGCAACATGGCGGCCCGCGGCGCAGCCTGTGGCGCAACCACCAGCGGCCCTCCGCCTCCGCCCAACCGTCCTTGACGGCGCCCTTGAGCATGGCCTCGGCCTTTTCCTTCGACTCGGTGGAGTTCAGGAGTTCCTCAGCAGCCAGCTCCACCTCCTCCTCCTCCTCATCCTCCTCCTCCTCCTCCTCCTCCTCCTCCTGCTCATGACCCCTCACCTCCCTATCCGCCGAGAGTACGAATGAGCGGGTTGTCCTGCTTTGGGCGGAGAGGGATGGAGAAACTCACCGATGGAGTGAACACGGGATGCAAATAGCCAATGGGAATCCCCGCGCTGCAACACCGAGGCGCAGTGCCTTGGCTCGAACACCGCGCCAGGCAGAAGCGGCGAGCTATCAGGGGCAGACGCACGGTCCCGGGGAGAGGGAAGAGAAGGAGAGAGAGAGAGAGAGAGAGACAGAGAAACCAAAAACAAAAACAAAAAAACGGTGGGAGGACGGGAAGGGGGAGAAGGGAGGAGGGTGGGGAGAAGGGTGGGGAGGAGGGGCGAAGGGTTTTGTGTGCAGGAACGGTGCAGGCGCCTCCCTGGCCAAGCCAAGAGGGCGTATACACCGACCGTGGCTCCCCCCTTCACCTCCTCCTCCTCCTTCTCCTCCTCCTCCTCCTCCTCCTCCTCCCTCTCCTCCTCCTCCTCCTCCTCCTCCTCCTCCTCCTTCTCTTCCTCCTCCTCTTCCTCCTCCTACTCCTCCTCCTCCTCATCCTCCTCCGCCTCCGCCTCCGCCTCCGCCCTCCGCCTCCGCCTCCTCCTCCGCCTCCTCCTCCTCCTCCTCCTCCTCCTCATCCTCCTCCGCCGCCTGCTTCTCGGGGCTCATCCGCCTCCTCATCCTCCTCATCTTCATCATCTTCCTCCTCCTCCTCTCCTGCTCCTGCTCGTCCTCCTCCTCCTCCTCTCCTCCTCCTCCTCATCCGCCTCCTCCTCCTCCTCCTCCTCCTCCTCATCCCGCCTCCTGCTTCGCAGGCTCCTCCGCCTCCTCCTGCTCTTCCTCATCCCTCCTCCTCCTCCTCCTGACCCTTTATCGTCCTCTTCTGCATCCTCCTCCTCCTCCTCCTTTCCTCCTCCTCCTCCTCCTCCTCCTCCTCCTCTTCCTCCTCCTCCTCCTCATCCTCCTCCTCATCATCCTCCGCGTCTTCACAATAGTACTCATAGTGTTAGTGCCTCAGTATTGGATTAGTAGTGCCATGGCTATTCATAATAGTCTGGTCACTGCTAGCATTAGTAATGCGAATACTATAACTAGTATGAGTGTATTAGTCTGTGTATACGTATGTGTGCGTTAGTTGTGTGTGTCATTCGTATTCTTACGAATAACAAAACAGCATTATGAAATACATTACTACTATTAGTAATAATACGTCGTATTAGTATTGTTGGTCTGAGTGTGTTCCTTCGTATTAGCATTCATAATCGTATGTGTATTCTTCGTAGTACACTTCTGACTAAGAGTACTAATATGATGAGTCTGGTTTCCCGTATGATAAGTAGTACTGTTCGTCGCGTGTGTCGTCGTAGTCGGCTTCTGAGTCTTCTCCGTAAAACAAACATCATTAGTGGGTAGTGTGAGTGTGCACAGTAGTATCAGCATCTGTATTAGTCGTAATAGTAATATTGGTATTGGTATTCGTACCAGTATTAGTACTAGTATTAGCAATAAGAATATTACTGGTATAAGTAGTTGTAATAATATTTGTATTAGTATTAGCATCACTAGTAGTAGTAGTATTAGTATTAGTATGTGCATTAGTAGTAGTGTTAGTACTAGTAGTAGTAGTAGTAGTAGTAGTAGTAGTAGTAGTAGTAGTAGTAGTAGTAGTAGTAGTACTAGTAGTAGTAGTAGTAGTAGTAGTAGTATTCGTATTATTACTACTGATAGTATTAGTACTAGTACGATTACTAGTATTAGTATTAGTACTAGTATTAGTATTAGTATTAGTATTAGTATTAGTATTAGTATTAGTACTGATAGTAGTAGTAGTATTAGTATTAGTATTAGTATTAGTATTAGTATTAGTACTAGTATTAGTAATAGTATTTTTATTAGTATTAGTATTAGTATTAGTAATAGTAATAGTATTAGTGTTAGTGTTAGTATTAGTACTAGTACTAGTATTAGTATTAGTATTCGTATTCGTATTAGTATTAGTATTAGTATTAGTATTAGTATTAGTAGTAGTAGTAGAATTAGTATTAGCATTCGGATTAGTAGGAGTATGAGTATGAGTATGAGTATTAGTATCAGTATCAGTATCCGTATTAGTATTAGTATTAGTATTAGTATTAGTATTACTCATGTCAGTACCAATACATGTATCAGTATTAGTATTAGTATTGGCACCAGTAGCAGCAATAGCATTAGCATTAGCATTAACATTAGCATTGGCATCAGCACTATAATTAGTACTGTTAGCAGTAGCCGTAGAATACTTGTTGGTAGTAGTGGTAGTAGTAGTAGTACTAGTAGTAGTTGTTGTAGTAGCAGTAGTAGTAGTAGTCGTATTAGTAATAGTAGCAGTAGTAACAGTGGTACAAGTAATAGTAGTAGTAGTAATAGTGAATAATAGTAATAGTGTTCCTCCTCCTCATCCTGCAACTCCTCCTCCTCCTCCTCCTGCTCCTCCTCCTCCTGCTCCTGCACCTCCTCATCCGCCTCCTGCTCCTCCTCCTCTTCTTCCTCCTCCGCGTCCTCCTCCTCCTCCTCCTCTTCTTGCCTCCTCCTCCTCCTCCTCCTCCCCCTCCTCCTCCTCCTCCGCCTCCTCCCCCTCATCCTCATCCTCATCCTCATCTTCATCCTCCGCCTCCTCTTGCCTCCTGCCTGCCTCCTGCCTCCCTCCTGCCTCCCCAAGGCCAAGTGTTCGCCTCAGGCCCACCGAAAGAAAGCCGCGGAGGCCGGAATCGAGGAAGGCCGCCAGGACTGGAAAAATCGGATCGTCGGAGTTGTCTGGCCCTCCTCCAATTCGGACCCTCGAGCCACGCTCCCTGTACTTGTCCAGCTCCGCCTCGGGCAAGCCGACCTTCTCGCCCTTCGCCAGCGCGGCCTCCGCCCGCGGCGGCGGGAGCCGTGGGCGGAGCGCCGGCCGCCCCTCCGCGTGCCTCTGTTCCTGCCCTCCTCCTGCCCTCCTCCTGCCGCTTCTCCCTCCTCCTCCTCCTTCTCCTCCTCCACCTCCTCCTTCTCCTCCCCCACTCCTTTTCCTTATGAATGAACTCCTCCCTGACGCACCCTGAGGCCAGTCAGCAGGGCGGGCCGAGCGTTTCGCCCGAGACTTCCGGAGCAATTACAAGCCTCAAACTGAGAAACTGCAACAGTTTCACAGATGAAAGGCACGTCGCTTCCAAAATGCGGCTCTCGCCCTAGCGCCGCGCACATTCGGTTCAAAAAACTTTGAAAATGTGGCTCTCGCCTTAGCGCCGTGCACACTCGTTTTCAGCACGTACAAGAGCCTCAACATGTGATTCTCGCCTCAGCGCCGCGCACTCGTTGTTAAAAACGGCAAGAGCTTCAACGATTTAGGGCGGCTCCTTTTCAAAATGTGGCCCTCACTTTAGCGCCGCGCACATTCGCCTTTAAAACTTCGCCAAAGAAGTTGACTGCCTCTCGTGGCCAACGTACTAGAAGAGGTACTTTGGAATGATTCAGAACTGTCAGGGCGTAACACGTACGTTGATTCGCGGTGTTGAAGTCTCATGAATGGCGTGCTGGCACGATTCAGGACGTCCAGACGCAACAGTCAAATTGACTCGTGGTGTTGAAGTCCTGAGAACGGTGTTTGGGCACGTTTCAAAATTTTCACACGTTTATCCGCCTTCCCTCAGAAATGAACATTTGTAGGATCCTATGCTGGATGAGCTTGGAGAAAGGGTGTATTCAAGCATCGTTGGTAAGTCTTGGGTTTACAGTGGTCCTCCTCCTCTTCCTCCTCCTCCTCCTTTCCTGCTCTCCATCCGCCTCCTCCTCCTCCTGCTCCTCCTCCTTCTCCTCCTCCTCATCATCCTCCTCCTATTCCTCCTCCTCCTCCTGCTCCTCCTGCTCCGCCTCCGGCCTCCCCCGCCCTCCTCCGCACTCCTCCTCCTCCTCCCTCCTTTCCTCCTCCTCCTCCTCCTCCTCCTCCTCCTCCTCCTCCCCCCCTCCTCCTCCTCCTCCTCTTTCTCCTCCTCCTCCTCCTCCTCCTCCTCCTCCTCATCCTCCTCCTCCTCATCCTCATCCTCATTCTCCTCCTCCTTTTCAGAGTGCAAGTAGTTGTTCAGTTTTAGCTCAGATAGCAGAATGGGCCCCGCTCTTTTGATAGAAAATCGGCACACGCGGCAACAACTACTACAGGTGATATAACACCGCAGCCTTTAAAACAACCTTTCGAATCTCTCAGAATCTTTTAAAAACGGACCCCAAGTTTTCACGTTCTGCCCCCTCGCCAGATCGGTCAGCTAGCTCCACCCCGCGCTGGAACTGGGTGCCGGCGGTAAACCGTCAAACAGGTTGCCGCCGGAGACCTCGTAGAGCTCCTAGCACACATAATCATGCTGTTATTGCGAATAGCAAGCTCCCTGGAATATTGGATTGGAAACTAGATAGAATATGTTTTCGGACTATTTTGGAGGTCGGTCCCTGAAAATAAGTCGCTAGGAATTTTGCAGCTGCAGCCCTGAGACTTCCACCAGCAAAGGAAGCGTGACCCACTGCTGAGTAGAAAAATGCTCGATTCTAAAATCAATTGTCGCCTGCGCGGGGGAACTCTACGTGTGCGGTGACGGCGCGTGGTTCCCCTTTGCAGGCCTGATGGCCGAGTCGGTGCTGGCCAAATGTAAGCGGGCCTTCCTGTGGGTTGAAGGGCTCTTCCTTCTCGTGGGCGCGTGGAAGAGGGCCGAGAACGCGGCCATTGTGGAAAGAGCAAGGCCCCGTTTGCTCTCCACGGCGGTGCCTCCATCGATTTCACCACCCACTGCACGGCGACCGCGTCCTGGGGGAAGAGGGCTCACTCGCGGCCCGAGCCCCCTGCCCCAGGTGATTCAGGCATTTGAAATGGCATTGTCCTCCCCCTCCTCCTCCTCCTCCTCCTCCTCCTCCTCCTCCTCCTCCTCCTCCTCCTCCTCCTCCTCCTCCTCTCCTCCTCCCTCCTCTCCCCTCCTCCTCCCTCCCCCCCTCCTCCTCTCCTCCTCCTCCTCCTCCTCCTCTCCTCCTCCTCCTCCCTCCTCCTCCTCCTCCTCTCCTCCTCCTCCTCCTCCTCCTCCCTCCTCCTCCTCCTCTCCTCCCCTCCTCCCCTCCTCCTCCTCCTCCTCCTCCTCCTCCTCCTCCTCCTCCTCCTCCCTCCTCCTCCTCCTCCTCCCTCCTCCTCCTCCTCCTCCTCCTCCTCCTCCTCCTCCTCCTCCTCCTCCTCCTCCTCCTCCTCCTCCTTCCTCCTCCTCCTCCTCCTCCTCCTCCTCCTCCCCTCCTCTTCCCTTCCTCCTCCCTTCCTCCTCCCTTCCTCCTCCCTTCCTCCTCCTCCTCCGACGACGACGACGACGAGCCGGCGACGCCAGGGGCTTCGCATTACCGGTGGAAATCTCGCCAGCCTGCTGCACGTCGCCACGGCGCAGCGCGAGAGGCAGAGTAGTAGACGTCGTCGCCGTGCACAGTTTCTCTCTCTATCTCTCTCTCTCTCTCTCTCTTTCTCCCTCGCACTCTCATTGTATTTATATCTCTCTCTCTCTCTCTTTCTCTCTCTCAGAACGTGAATCGGTACCAACGTGTGCTTGTCCACCGAGGCCCTTCCATAGGCGTAGGTCGCACAACGAGGGCCGACACCGGCTGCGCGCTGTCGGCGGGGCGGATCCGAACTGGGCAAGCACACGCCTGGGCCAGCACACGTCCTGAGGACCATCGACCATCCTGGCCCCATGCCGTGGGCCATCGGGTGAGGTCGGGCATGTCCTCCTACAGGCAGATGTTGAAAGAAAAATGAAAAATAGTCAACCAAGAACAAACAAAAAAACTGCCCCGTACTGTTTTGAAAATATTGATGAAGTTTTCTTCCTGTAGAGGGAAGGGACATGCCCGACTGAACCCTAGGACGCTCGGACAGGATGGGAGCTGCGCGCGCAGCCCTCCTCGCCTGGGCGAGGAGGGCCAGATCTTGTCCTCGGCCCTCGAGGACCGAGGACGGAGACCCCTCGTAAGGTCGCGCGCCGCATCGCCTTCGCATCGGCGATACATCGGCGACGTCGGTGCGCAGGAAATGAGGCCCGGCGATGCGGTGCGATCCTCCTCTTGACCCATTCCCCAGGGCCACCTTCTCACCCTGAGTTTGAAATATGGTTCCCAGGCCTGGCGGAGGCCCCCAGAGGCCCGTTGCCAAAAACCTCCCGTCGTGAGCCGTTCAAAACCTGGGGGCGCATAAATTTGGGAGGCCCAGGCCACCTACCTGCCCCCGGGGGGAGGGGGCGCCTTCATGGCCTCCGCGTCGCCCGCCTCCTCCGCGGCGGACAGCCTGTCGCGGGCCTTTTGCCTGGCGCCGCCCCAGTTGGGGGACCGCCCCCCCCTGCCCTCAAAAGAGCATGTTTTTCATGCGCGGCGGCGACGGGTGTCATGGGGAGGGCGGGGGGGGGAGGGGCCATGACCTGACGGCACCCCCGCCGTGTGGGTCCGGCACCACAAACTGCGGTGCTAGACGCGCTGCGGCAGTTCCGGAGCTGCCCACGGGGGGGGGCCTTGCGTTACGGGGGAGGTGGAAGGAGCATGACGCGCGTCATGGCCCAGAGGGTTCAAAACCACTCTCCTGGGTGGACCGCCCCCCCCCCCTGCCCTCAATCGAGTGTGTCCAAGGGTGGTCCTGGCGCAACCCTGAGATCTGGGCATTGCACTTTTGCCACAAAGGGCGATGTTTGCCTTGTTTCGGGCCCCAGGGCCCACACGGATCGATCCAGCTCGAAGAGCGCAGCACAAAGATGGGCCCAGAGCTCCGGTGGAGTTTTCTGCGATGTTGCATTGTACGTGACGTCGGATCGCAAGGAAAATCTTAAGGTTCCCTGGAAGGCCCAGATGACCTCCAGAGCACCCCTCGCGAGGCCCAGATGGCCCCCAGGGCTCCAGAACGGCGCGGGACGCTGGGGACACCTTGGCAGGACCACATCTGGCAACACCAGAGGAGGAGGAGGAGGAGGAGGAGGAGGAGGAGAGGAGGAGGAGGAGGAGGAGGAGGAGGGAGGAGGAGGAGGAGGAGGAGGCCCCGGCAGGGGCCAGGAAGCGACCAGGGCCGGGCCGCCAACCTCCCCCCTGCGAGAGGGGTGGTCGGTGCAAAGAGGCTGTGCCCACACCCTCCTCCCTCCTCCTCCTCCTCCTCCTCTCCTCCTCCTCCTCCTCCTCCTCCTCCTCCTCCTCCTCCTCCTCCTCCTCCGCCTCCTCCGCCTCCTCCGCCTCCTCCTCTGGGGGACAGTGCCCGTATTGCACGTCGGTATGCCCCCCAGAGGCGCGTGCGCATGGAGGGCTGCGCACAGCCTGTCAGGAAAGCGAATGGAGGGCACGACGTGTGCCATTGGGAAAATGCAGCCTGGGCGGTACCAGGCGCAACGGCGGGACTGGGACATCTTCCACGCCCCCTGCCCTAAAGCCAAGGGCGCGCAGGGCCCAGAAACCAGGGCAGGGCAAGCCAAGGGCGCGCAGGGCCCAGAAGCCAGGGCAGGGCAAGGGGAGGGGGCCAAAAGCCCAAACGGCAGCTGAAGCGCGGGGAGGGGAGGAGACCTGGATCAGGGAGAGACATCGACCTGAAACCTGCCATATATCGCCGATAGATCGGCGGTAGGTCCCCGATAGCAAAACCGCACGCTCCTTGGCGGGGTGGGCTATCAGACCAAAATTAAGGTACAAGCACCAGCACACATACACGTAAAATTGACACGGAAAAACTACCACACCACTGACTCACTGCCTCACCACCGACTCCCCACGCCCGTTCTTGGGGCCCCCAGGGGACAAGCTGGGGCCACCTCGGGCACGCAGGCGCGGGCGAGGAGGGCAGGCGGAGGGCCCAGGAGGGCGAGGGGCCGAGGTGCGCTTTGGGGGGGGGGGGGAGGGGGCGCGAGGAGGCGGTCGCGAGAGGAGCGGGGCGAAGACGCGAAGGGGGCGAGGAGGGGGGGAGGGAGGAGGCGAGGGAGGGGCGGGGGGGCGGCGGGGGAGCGGCGAGGCGGGGGCGGCGGCGAGGGGCGCGCGGAGGGCCCCCGGGGGGGGGGCGCCTGGGCTCCTCGACGGCGAGGACCTCCCTCGCCTCGTCGAGCCTCGACGAGTCGACCTGCGCCCGGGGGCCGCGGCGCCCTGCGCGGGGTCCGCAGGGCGGCGCGAGCCCCTCGGAGCCCGTCGGGGGCCGTCGCCGTCCTCGCGCGAGAGCCCTCGGGAGGACCTCGGCGGCCTGCGAAAGGCGCCGGGCGGGGTGTCGGGGTGCTGCCAGGAGGGCCTGGCCCAGGACGCGGACAGCCTCTTTCGCGCCGAGGTGCCTGCGGCCCTCAACACGTGTTGCACCAGGCCTGGCGCAAGTGCTGGAGGGGCGAGGGGCGAACGACCCAACCCAGTTGCAGGTGGGGCCACGGAACGTGTGAGGGGGGTGTGCTGAAATTGAACCGAGCAACCATGCGGACGCAGCCACTGGGGCCTTGGGTGGCGCTCCCTGTGGGACAAAACGTATGAGGGGTGTGCTGAAATGGACCCGAGTCACCATGCGGACGCAGCCAGTAGGGCCTTGGGTGGAGCTCCCTATGATGCCACGAAAACTGTGAGCGGTGTGCCGAAATGCACCCGAATCACAACGCGGACGCAGCCTCTAGGGCCTTGAATGAAGCTCCTATGGGACCACGAAACGTGTGAGGATCGCCATGCAGACGCAGCAACTGGGGCCTTGGGTAGAGCTCCCCATGGGGCCACAAACGGGGTGAAGCGTACCGAAATGAACCCGAGTCACCATGTGGACGCAGCCTCTGGGGCCTTCGGTGGAGCTCCGTATGAGGCCAGGAGAATTGTGAAAGGTGTTCCGAAATGGACGCGAGTCACCTTGCGGACGCAACCACTGGGACCGTGGAGCTCCCTATAGGGCCACGAACGGTGTGAGGGGTGGCGAAACGATGATGTGAATAATGAAGGTGGCAACGAGTATGGAGGGGATGATGCTGACGACGACTATGAGGATGATGCTGATGACAAGGATGAGGGAGAGGAACGGAGGAGAGGATGAGAAGGAGTGAGACGCGCGGCGCTGCGAACTCAAAAAAAGGGACCCAACACACAGGAGGGCTGGGAAATATACAGAGACTCGAAGCCGACACAACAGACCTGCGGAGACATAACATGTCCGACTCGGACAGGCCGTGAATCTCCGCAGCATACGTAGCGGCAGGAAGGGGCTCCGAAACCAAATGTTTCTCGCCCTCCTGCCAAGCGTCCGCCTCATCTTGTTGATCCTCTTAGTCCAAGCCTTCGCACCCGCCAAGCGCTTGTTTACCTCAACGTTCAAACCTGTGTGGCGCAGTGCCTCGTCAGCGACATCGTCCGCTCCAAGGTCCAGGGCAGCTCGGACCACAGGACCTGAAAGAGACTGGCCAAGCCGCTCACGCATGGCCTGGGTCTTAGCGGGCCCTGGAAACGACAGGGCCATCTTTTTGCTGGTTGTGTTTTGCCGTTGTTGTGCCGGTTCCGACGCCGTTTTTGTTACCAATACCGTCGGCGTTTTGTTTACCGGTTCCGGCTCCAGTTCCGATCATGGAACCGTTTTTGTTGCCGCTTCTGGTCGCTGGTTCTTTTGCTGCTTCCATTTTCAAGAGACACTGTTTCGGAAACGGTAAAAATTAGCTTGTCGAAGGACCCAACCATATGCAGTTGTGAGTAATGCTGGTGTGAGTACCGTCTTCGGTGGATCTCCCTATGGGGCCACGAACCGTTTGAGGGGTGTGCCGAAATGGGTGTGGGGGCGGCATGCGAACGTTGCCACTGGGGTTTTCGGTGGAGCTCCTTATGGGGCCACGAAACGTGTGAGGGGTGCACCGAAGTTGGTGTGGGCGCGGCATGCGAACGCAGCCACTGGGGCCTTCGGTGGAGTTCCCTGTGGGGCCACGAAACGTGTGAGGGGTGTGCCGAAATTGGTGTGGGGGCGGCATGCGAACGCAGCCACTGGGGCCTTCGGTGGAGCTCCCTATGGTGCCACGAAACGTGTGAGGGGTGTGCCGAAATGGGTGTGGGGGCGCATGCGAACCCAGTCACTGGGGCCTTCAGTGGAAATCCCCATGGGGCCACGAAACGTGTGAGGGATGTGCCGAAATGGGTGTTGGGGAGGCATACGAACCAGGCCACTGGGGCCTTCGGTGGAGCTCCCTATGGGGCCACGAAACGTGTGAGGGGTGTGCCGAAATGGGTGGTGGGGAGGCATGCGGACCCTGCCACTGGGGCCTTCGGTGGAGCTCCCTATGGGGCCACGAAACGTGTGAGGGGTGTGCCGAAATGGGTGGTGGGGAGGCATGCGAACCCTGCCACTGGGGCCTTCGGTGGAGCTCCCTATGGGGCCACGAAACGTGTGAGGGGTGTGCCGAAATGGGTGGTGGGGAGGCATGCGAACCCTGCCACTGGGGCCTTCGGTGGAGCTCCCTATGGGGCCACGAAACGTGTGAGGGGTGTGCCGAAATGGGTGGGGGACGCATGCGGAACGGCCACTGGGGCCTTCGGTGGAGTGGGGCCACGAAACGTGTGAGGGGTGCCGAATGGGTGTGGGGGACGCATGCGAACGCAGCCACTGGGGCCTTCGGTGGAGCTCCCTATGGGGCCACGAAACGTGTGAGGGGTGTGCCGAAATGGGTGGTGGGGAGGCATGCGACCCTGCCACTGGGGCCTTCGGTGGAGCTCCCTATGGGGCCACGAAACGTGTGAGGGGTGTGCCGAAATGGGTGGTGGGGAGGCATGCGAACCCTGCCACTGGGGCCTTCGGTGGAGCTCCCTATGGGGCCACGAAACGTGTGAGGGGTGTGCCGAAATGGGTGGTGGGGAGGCATGCGAACCCTGCCACTGGGGCCTTCGGTGGAGCTCCCTATGGGGCCACGAAACGTGTGAGGGGTGTGCCGAAATGGGTGGTGGGGAGGCATGCGAACCCTGCCACTGGGGCCTTCGGTGGAGCTCCCTATGGGGCCACGAAACGTGTGAGGGGTGTGCCGAAATGGGTGGTGGGGAGGCATGCGAACCCTGCCACTGGGGCCTTCGGTGGAGCTCCCTATGGGGCCACGAAACGTGTGAGGGGTGTGCCGAAATGGGTGGTGGGGAGGCATGCGAACCCTGCCACTGGGGCCTTCGGTGGAGCTCCCTATGGGGCCACGAAACGTGTGAGGGGTGTGCCGAATGGGTGGTGGGGAGGCATGCGAACCCTGCCACTGGGGCCTTCGGTGGAGCTCCCTATGGGGCCACGAAACGTGTGAGGGGTGTGCCGAATCGTGGTGATGATGATGATGATGATGATGATGATGATGATGATGATGATGATGATGATGATGATGATGATGATGATGATGATGATGATGATGATGATGATGATGATTCTCCCGCTCGCGCGCTAGCGAGCTGTCTCCGAGCGCGGCCGCGGCTCGCGCGCGCGGGGCGGCCCAAAATGGGCAGGCCCGCCCCGCGCGCTCGTGCCGGGGCGCCGCGCGTCAGGCGGGGGAGACCGCCTGCTCGCCGACGACGGCGAGGCAGCGCCCATCAGCCTTAGATTGGGAGAGGAGGGAGGGGGGCAGAGAAGCTGCGGAGACAGCAGGAGCTTGCTCACAGAGAATAGAAGAGGCATTCTCCCGCTCGCGCGCTAGCGAGCTGTCTCCGAGCGCGGCCGCGGCTCGCGCGCGCGGGGCGGCCCAAAATGGGCAGGCCCGTCCCGCGCGCTCGTGCCGGGGCGCCGCGCGTCAGGCGGGGGAGACCGCCTGCTCGCCGACGACGGCGAGGCAGCCATACCCGTGCTCAAGGACCTTGCGAAGTGACAAGGTTTCGGCGGGCGGCCGCAAGTAGGGCAGGCCAAGCGGCGGGGCCGACTTGGAGAAATGAAGCGACAAGGCGGTCGCTGGCGGTGGCGAAGAACAGGATCCGCGCCCGTGCGGGCACGGGCAGCGCAGCAAGAACTGTGGAAGCGGCGGCGGCTTGCAGGTAGCGCTCAGCACTGGAAGCCTGACGCCAACGCCCCCGCCAGAAGACGCGAGGGACGTCTTCCGTAGCGATATAGAAGTCTGTTGCGCCAGAGCCCCGCAGACATGCGGGCGTCAGGTTGAGCCCCTGACCCGCTTTGGCAAGAGGGACGCCCAGGGCCGAAAGCAAATGATTCCACCGAGTACGGAAGCCGCTCGCACCGAAAGGGGCGAGAGGATCGGTGGAAGCCAACCGCCCAAACACTTGATTCAGAATCTTCACCGTGCCCCGATCGGAGCAGCGAGCATGCTGCGTCGGGTACGTTCTCCTGGTCTTGGGAACAAGAATCGAAAGAAAAGCATCCCCTTCAACTTCGAGGCGGTCGCAAGGAAGCGACAAGTCACAGCGGCGTGACGCCAGCAGCTCGCCAGGCCTGAGGAACATCGTAAAGCCCATGAGCAGCAAGGCCGCCATCACAGGCCAGTCCCAGGCGAAACAGAGACCGACCATAGCGCGCAGCAGAGCGCGAGGTAAGGGCGGGCGGAGCTTTGGCGGCTCCGCGAGCTTCCATTGTTTCGCTACGTCCCAAGCTTCTGTTAGAAAGGCCTTCCAATGCGGATGAGCGCTCTGGATTCCCAAGATGGCATGAACCAGAATATAATGAGGGAAACCTGCATCATGAAGCCACACGCCGAAGGTCGCGAGGAAGCGGGCGAGAAGTATCCCGCTACGGTAAAGAGTGGCGGGCGGCACGCCAGTGTGTTCTGCTAACCACAGTTCGAACGCATCAATCGATCTCGAGCGACGATCGAGATACGCGGAGGTGAGGTGAGAATCGCGCACGAAGGGAGTGCGCGGAGGGCGAGCGGGCGCGGAAGGCGCAGCCCGACTAAGCCCTTGGCCTGCGGTCGGCGCCGCGGCTCCCAGAGAGATGCAGAGGCCGCAGACGCACCACAGGATGAGCGCAGGGCGGCCAGGGCTGGGAGAGCTGATCAGCGTGGCGGCCCTCCTGCTCCTGGACGCGTAGAAGGGCGGAACGAGGGTGTCCCGCCCGTCGGTCTCGAACCCCGACGCCTCCGCCAGCATCGCCCGCGCCGAGGTGAAGGATCCGCCCATGTTACGGTGAGCACGGCGAGCCCCTGCTTCGATCTC